ACAACTAAACGGATCACCAGATTTTAAGTGACTACTGGCGCCCATGTACATCTGAAACTCAATAGACAAGTATTTACGTGTATTGTATATATGTAAATTAGCGTAGAAAGAGTTGAGCCTCAGATACCATTACTCGTACCATTGTTTAACATCGGTTTCTGTGATATATGGTGTCAGGCAGAACTCTTTGCGATAATACTCATTGTAAAACTTCTAAGAACATTTGAAAAGGGGCAGAAAGTTGATGATGAAGTAAACATCCGTTTTGATATACTACTAAACGATACGATAAATAATAATTTTTATGATAACAATTGTGTTTTTCGGGGGTCATTAGAGCAGAGCTAGGCAAGACCTTTTGAAAAGATTGATGAAAAAAAATATTTTTAAGAAGTAGTACTTTAATAAACATCTTTACTGTCCACGGGATGTCATCAAACGCTGTCCCCATTACCCATCATGAATGAGTTGTAAGCTACTCGTCTCAAGGTCAACGAACCTTGAAAGTGACAAGTCAGTGAGCTGATGATGATGATGTTGATAATGATGATGGCAAACAAGACGAGTTTGATCTCAATGCGTGTTGTGGACTTAATTGCTCAGTATTTAGTGAAATGGTTGTTTTTGTTTCCATTGACAGAAATGTGTCCGTGTGGTAAGTAAGAATACAAAGTATCACTAGCCTAAATCATCCTGTGGGTGTAGTAAGAAGGAGCAAAGTACGCAGGACAGCAGCACTGCAAAGAGAAGGAAAACTTGAAACAAACCCTATACCAACCGTGTAGTGGACTGTTATAGGCTGTTTATGGTGATGATAGAAATGTGTATTTTATGGAAGAACTTCTTAGAATAAATTAATGAGCAATGTGAAGTTTTCTGACATATTTTATATATATCTTATCTTACAAATAAGATATATTATCTCATAATATATCTTATTTATTTTATTAATCATCGTAACGTTTACGGTTTAATAATTTTTTTTGGAAAACTAATAGATAACTTAACAGATTGTGTATCTCACTTACAACCTCACCTATTGCTATCATAATCATCAGCCTAGTGCAGTCCACTGCTGGACAAAGGCCTGTCTCATTCACCTATTGCTAAACTTGTAAAAAAACAAAATAATATTTTTTCCTAATTTTATTTTGATGAGGACAATTCTAATTCAACAACACAGAAGTCAGAACAAGTCCGGCGTTGGATTAAGAATACAGAGTCTCATCACCCCTATACATCCCGTGGGTGTTGTAAGAGCCGACTAAGGGAAAAAACTACGCAGAACACAGCACTGCAGAGAGAAGGAAAACTTGACACAAACCCTATATTAACCCGTCTGGTCAGCGTGGTATAATAGGCCAAAACCTCCTTTCTAACGAGTGGCTTATATCCAGCAGTAGACTATTAAAGGCTGTTGATGAACACAGAAAAAAATCTACATATCTACCGAAAGAGCAAGTTTAATAATTAGAAATTGAATTATCAAACAATTCATTTCACAAATTTCATGTTTAAATTGAAGCTGAATATTATTATTCTGATGACTTCAAATTATCAATAAAATCATCATTATTAAGTATTACCCTTTCTGAAACTAAATAGGACGCTTTCAGCAAATGCGTTTGTGTAACGGACTGCTATTCCAAAGGTCGCGGGTTCGATTCCCGCTCAAGTCAAACATTTGTGTGCATGAACATTTGATATTTGATTTGGTCTGGGTGTTTCTATGTATAATATGTATGTATTTACAAAAAAAAAGTGTATATGTATTTATATCAGTTGTCTAGTACCCATACTTCAAGCTCTGCTTAGTTTGGGACTAGATGGCGTTGTGTGTATGTGGTAGAATATTATTATTATTATTTATATTATTCTTAATCTGCTATACCATAATCGCAAAAACAACTCACACAATGAACTAAGCTCCCATGATTGTTGCATGTGATCTGTGTCAAGAAACATGTAACATCATCGGGGCCAAACATATACTATGGGAAGAAATCTTATTGATGAGGCAGTTTTTTTTTTGCGGAATAGTGCTTGTACTATGGAAGCTAGATTAACTGATAGAATAATTATATACTTTTTTTTAGTAAATACATGCATATTACACATAGAAAACACAAACTGAAACAAATATTTGCAGACAAATATTTGGTCCGATCTGGGAATCGAAACCGAGACCTCAGCACAGCAGTCGCATACGATACCACTGCACCACCGAGTCATTTGTATAGGACAAAGATGTGATATTACTCAGAAACTGTATTAATATATTATTTATCCATCTGTGATTGATAAGTAATGGGACAGACAGATGTTTGCTTCATGAGAAATAAATAGTTTTCAAGATTTCTATTTGTTTTCCTGAGTTTAACTTTTCGTTATTTATTTAAACTAATATTATAAAGCTGAAGAGTTTGTTTGTTTGGTTTGTTGAACGCGCTAATCTCAGGAACTACTGGTTTGAATTAACAGGTTCTTTTAGTGTTGGATAGCCCATTTATTGAGGAATGCGACTGCTGTGCTAAAGTCGGGGGTTTGATTCGAAATGTTTGTATGATTGAATTGTGTTTTCTATATATGCAATGAAAAATATTACAAAAATGGGTTAAATTTATTCCTTTGGAAAGATCAAATAGTTTTTCATACAAATCAAAGATTGTTAGTCTCTATAAACAATGATATCCCGTCCGGCTCATTACAAAAGAAAACATCACCGGACGAGAAGTTGCCTTTCATGTCTATCTTTCAAGATGTATGAACCACTTATCTATTAACTTTAAAACTCTAATAATAATTCCTTGGCACATCTTACACGCGGCCGTCTGATCCCAAACTAGGCAGAGCCTGTACAATGGTAACCAGACTGCTGATAAAAACACTTAAATATTTCTAAATACATACATATTACAGATAAATTACACCCAGACCCAGATATAGAACAAATGACAGTGCTCATTATTATTTGTCCTGGGTGGGTATGAACCAACGACCCTGGCTTAGGGTCAGGCCAACAGACCATCTCAAGAATAGTAATTCTCATTTGAATAATGCTTAAATATTTTTTTTTAATACGATATGAAATGATGAACTGTGAAGTCTTATAAAAACCACAACTGTTTTATACAAAATTTAATGGCAGGTGAAATGCTTTCGCGTGTATCCTTCAAACTTTCACTGTCTAATGTAACATTAAATGGTCATGCTAATTATAATTGCGTGCAAAATATGTGAAGTAAGGAAATGTCAGTTGAAAAATACTAAGATCGTGACTCCGATGTACTAGAAATATTATAAATGTACCTTTCTCTATCGCGGATTCCGGAGAGTAGCGTTAGGAAAAAAAGTAATTGAACGTTTTGTAAAATTTATATCATCAAAATCATTATCATCATTAAAATTTATACATGGTTTTGGTTCAAATTTACCAAAAATACTGAGGCCTCGACTGATGTTAGTGTCAGTCACAGAGGTTATTGAAATCATGAGAGAACAGTAATCATAAAAGTACCAACCGTGCATGGGAGTTTAATCCTTTATTGGGAAATTATTATTGTCAAAAATATGTAATTATTAAATTAATTGACATTTCCTTATACGTTAAGCGAAGATAGTTTAAATTTTTAAAGTTATCAATATCAAACTAAATAGATCTATGAATTTCCTGTTTCGAATCACAAGTCTAAGAAAAAGACTCGTTTAAATATACAGAACTTTAATCTTGTTTTCAAAATGTTTTGTTGAAACGCAATACTAAGTATTAGGAGAATTTTTGTAGGCATATTTTACTTTTGCAACACTGTTCTTTTGGAGGTAAACTACTACTTGGATTGAAGCCCGAGAGACCAAGTGATGGCTGTGGGTAACATGCTGCATGTCTCGTAATTTGTACAGAAGTCTGTCTTCATAGCATTGTGAGATGCAAATATGTATAAGAATATGTTTACTGTCCCAAAATGGATTAAGAAATAAAAACGAACATGTAATACTGGGTAGGTTGTGATGCTTAAACATCCAATAAGCTTGCCTAAGCTACATGTTTTTTTTCTGCCAAGTAGCTTTAACCACAGATACGAAAAATGTAGTTTATATTTATTTGTTGTTCTATGCTGACGTTACCTAACTGCTGCTTTGACAACCACATTTACAGACTATCATGGTGCACTAAGTAATAATGTAGAATGTACCTCGCGGCCACAATGAGCTATCATTTTATATTTGTGTCACAGGGTCTCAGTTTAGTACTTGTTGGATTGTCAGAAGATTGTTAGTGATAGATATAGGAGAAAATAATGTGCTTTATGTATGCTGCTTGCTGTATGTTACTTTTGTAAGACGTCTTGTACTCTTCTCGTTTTAAGAGACACATTCCCAAAACTCTAAAACTTGCGTCTATTAAAATTTATCCTGATATCTTAACTTTTCGGAAACCCAATCTACAAAGGCATGATATTATGTCGTTCAATAAAATTTGCAATGTTCTTTGATGGTACAATACATTTACCAGTTGGCAGTTTTAGAATAATTTACCACGGTAAATTAACTTAAAAGGTACCTCACTTTTTTAATTAAAAACGCTCATAAATTTAGTCATCATCATATCTACATGTTTTAGACATAAACTAATTAAATTATTAGCATAAGTGCATTTATAAACCATCAAGACGTTTGAAGAAGCAATGTTAAAGTAACTGTTCTTTGATCCTATCAAACGATGTCTAAATGTACTCAAAACTATAATAAAGAGAAGACCAATTATAATCATCAAAACTGCTCTTGGAAAAAAATGGAACACCGTAAATGCTCCGAGAAAATCCATGAGAAAACAACGTTCAGCATTAGTGAATGTAAATTCTTTAGAGAGAATTTACTAATAGTTCCTGTGTGAATAAAGCTACCTACTTTTAATGAATACACTTGTCATTCAATTTTCGCATACTCATCTCAATTATGTACTTTTACGGCTTGGGTTCCTCCTCCTTGTGTCATGATTCTCATTGCTCAAGGTCAGAAATTATCTTCCAAACGTCTCTTGACTTGTTACAATCTTCAGCAGCTTTATGGACTTGTCTACTGGCAATGTCGCTGATTTGATCTGTCCAAGGACTTGGACTCCTTACTCTTGACAGTTTTTTGTTTTTCTTCCTGTCACCAGAAACTTTTCCAGATTTTCGCTTTTTGCATGTTATCTGATGCAGGCAGTCCTATATCCTTAGATTATTAAACTTTTTTAAATCCACGCAATGCTAATGGACTTTTCACAGCTAAATAATAAAAATTGTTGTTCTTTATCTAGTAAATTACTTTAGACGTTGATATCCTATGTCAGTAAAATAAATTCGACGATTATCTCACGACTTTCGATACGGATGAAGTCAATTTTAGAAATCTGATAATTGCGAATTTGAAGAAATATAATGGAATGATTCAAACTGTTCTTAATCTATTCAAGCTACTCAGAAAACCGATTAAAAAATAACGTAAATTAATGTCAATACTGTAACGTGAACATGCCGTAGTTTTTTGGAGTCCAATCGATTTAGCTGTTGCGAGAATCTTATCAAACCAAAATTATATTTTTTTTAATACCACGAGTAATATTATACTATAAATTCTTTCACTTCCAGTCCTTTCCCATAAAAACAAAATTATTCTTCTTTCTTTTGGTGTAATCTATGTTATGCTACGATCTTTCATAAAATTCTGCAACACTTCTATTACTAAATTAAAATTGTTCCAATACATTCAATCACTTTCTTCCCAATATTTTTTTGAATTCCATATTTCTTGGATGTCGCGAGAGTATGACATATATACGAGTACATACTATTATTATGTCTTTAGCTATGATATATGGCTTCATTCAAACCACCATAAAGAGAGGCGTGCTCGTAAGCTTCTTTGACATGGGGATTATACATGACATATTAAATGTTCATAAGTACGTATATCTATTACTATTATTATAATTGCTTCCTTTTTATTTTCATTAACACCATACTTGAGTATAACGTATTTTAATTGACTTGGTACTAATGTAGAGGCCGTAAGCAACCAAGAATAACATTAACTATCAATTCCAACATAATATTTTTTTTATGAGATCCTGATAATACGTTTAATCAGTTAATGTTATTAGATTAATAAGGGACTGAATTAATTTAGAAGTAAAATAATATTTTAATATATCTATGGTGATAATAGAAATTCAATCGTACATTTTTTTTTTTGCTGCCTATATGTTTAAGCTTCAGCTTGCTTAGAGTCTCCAAGCAAACTGAAGATGAAAAAAGTTTAAAAATTCTAGTAAGAAATTTTGAACTTCTAAGAAGGTAATCAATTTTCATCTAACGAATGTTTAAGAAAGGAAAACAAGACCATTATTTCCTTAATTTTTTAATTAAAAAAAACCTATTATTAACACTAATATTCTCATTACCCGTGTTAATTGTGTAAATGAGCATTTTTTTAATGTTCCGTGACTAAAACACGTGTATAATAAGTTTAAAAATACTGTTAACATCTAAATATCATTTATATACATGTGCTTTCTCTTATGTACGTAAATTGTTTATTCATAGCATGCTTTAAGAACTGCGTCTCTTTGATGAGATAAGAATTGAATTCACTTATATCTAGATTTGTAAGAGAAGCTAAGAGAAATCTCCCAACTTCGTATGTTATAGTATTGTTGGGTCTCACTACTTTAGAGGGTGAAAGTCTGAAGATTAAGTCACTGATGATGATTTAGCTATTTCTTTTAATATTACTTGTATCTTATTGAATGGGTGTTTATGTTGCTAATTTGTTTTTTCTATAAGCCAAATTCGGTCTATAAGTCTTTGTGACTGAAATTTAAAGTTATATTTTTTTAGATATGTTTCTTTCTCTCTCTCTCTCTTACCTTAGATACAATGAGCGCCTTTCCTGCTAAAATGAACAGGAACCCAATAGCGAGGGGGATCATGGCAGCCATTTTCATCACCCCTCCCATCATCATCATGCCCATCATTTTCTTCATCTTCCCTCGTCCTGGAATGTTATGGTTGTTGTGTTAAATCAATTTTTATTATTTTTGGATATTTGGAACTAAAAATCATGACAAATAAATTGTGATGTTTTTGTTGATTCTTTAAGTTAGAATATCGTGTTACTACAGCAGAAATTACATTTATACGTAAGGAACTTTTTTGTTCAGAATTATGATATACATATAAATTAAGATGGTAAGCAGATATCAGTATCTTTTGAGATTGCGTATATTGCAATTGGTCATGCACGTACGATATTTTTTAAATACTATTAGAAATACACCCACGATAAAAGTTGATAAAAATAGTTTTGCTTGTGAATGGTGAAAATATGATGAAGACTGTATGTTACTGGCTTTTTTGTTTCCGTAAGTAATATAAAAAGCAGGAAGGCGTTTCATGCTTATTGATTAATTATTGCAAGACAGCACACTAATATAATTAATTATCAACTGTATGGAAACTGACATGGAATTTATTGCTGCTTTTAAATCTTAATCATAGTTGATGAAATTATTGGTTTTAGTCACTACGATTTTACCTGTGATTGTGATTTGATCATAGACAAAGATAAATACCATCAAAATCAATCAAAATTCATTTTATCAAAGATTACGACCTTTCGCAAGCCTAGTGCTGGCGTAATAATATTAATAAGTAGCAGTGGTTTTCTAAATAAGTCACGAGTGTTATTATATTATTTCTAATCATATGATTTATCACAGGTGATTGTGATTTTATTCTATCCCTAATCAACTGCCTAGTGCCTGATACCCAACTATTTTATATATCTATTAACTATATTATTTATCTTAGAAACTTAAAAACTTTTGTTTCTAAGACGCCTTTTAGCAAGGAAGTCTGATGCATTGGGTCAATAATTGGCACACACATAAACTACACAAATAAGACCTGTTTATTTTTTGTTTAGAATAGAACTATGTCTAAAATCTTTTGAACTTCTATTAGTACTACGCGCCAAAACTTGGATAAACATTTTGGCAACAAATAATAACATAATTCAAGATCACGCGGTAACAGAAAGTGTTTTACAACTAAACAAGAAGAAATAATATAAAGATAAATCGGGTTTGCATTTTTTACACTACTTTGCTTTGTAAATATATTTTCATTATCATTTACAATTATTGTTAATTTCATTCATTCATCATCAGCCTATCGTAGTCCACTGTTGGACATAAGCCTCTCCCATTGCACGCCACTTAGATCGATTTTGGGCTTCTCGCATCCAGATCCTGCCAGCCATCTTGCGCAAATCGTTATTGTTTCTTATTGTTGTTAAAATTTATTTACCATTTTCCAGAACCTCTAAAACTCCAAAACCTATCAACATCTCTAAATAACGTTTACATTAATTAATATGTTCTATTTTCTGATAGATCTAATATGTTTGGCCCTTAATATTGTTTATAAGGGGAAAAAGTGCGCAGGACTTCCTTTCTAGGGTATGTCTTTTCCTTCCTAGGGTTACCCGGCTATTAGTACCCGAGACGGCGTGCGGTTTTAGTCGATTCGAGTCCGACATGCCACCGATAGGTGGTATCTGAGGGGATTTCCGCACGGAAAAAAAATAAAAGGGGGAAAAAGTGCGCAATGCAAATCACAATTATAAATATTCAAACAAATAATCGTATTTTATTAGCTATGGTGTTTGTAAATGCAGAGAGTACGACCCCTTCAACGATAATTTCTTTTGTGATGATATTTTTCGGACTAATGTTATAAAGGCGGAAGTTTGTGAGTATGTGTCTATTATGTATGTTTGTTAACTCTTCATGCTCCAATGGCTGTACCAATTGAAATAAAATATTGTATGGAGGTAGCTGACGCCCTGGATAATCAAAAAAGCTCTTTTTATCCCGAAAAAAAGTAGTGTTCTCGCATGGTGAGCAAGGAATTGAAAATCCGCGGCTAACCACTGTACCAAATTGCGAAATGTTAAAACTTCGATGTATGTTACTAGGATGTGTTGTTGTATATTAAACACCAATTGTCAGGACAAGAACTCATCTTAAATTCAGCAATATTTGATTAATTTATGCTTTTACAACCGATATGAAGTTTAATGAATGACCAACAAGGCGTCTAGGATTATTATCAAATTAATCGTTTACGTTAACTGAAATGCACCATCTCTGAATTGTCAACTGAAGTGTCGAAAAAAAGTCTTGTTACATATTTAAGGAACGTTGTTCTAAAAAAGTCGCTTAATCATGAATCGTTTTTTATTAATGTTTATTTAAGCTGTCGCCACCGCTTCCTACTACGCTGAGTCTTGTGGGTTCGATCCCTATATGGGATGACACAAGGTGTGGTCCACAAATTATTGTTCTGAGTCTTCTTTGTTCTTTATGTCCGTTTCATGTATGTTTATAAATTACTAATGCCTTTATACAAAAAGAAAAAAATACCATCTATTTATATCCAATAGTTACACCACAAAATAAACCAATAGATCACTTAAGTTTAATACCATTAGAAATTGGTTCGACGGTGGTAGATATGCGGTGATGATCTACACAGTTGAGACAATAATGGTGTATTTATAGCTAAGCTTTATGTTTCAAGTTATATATATTATAGCTATCGTTTACTATAACATGGCCATTTATAATAATGAACTTATCGTCATATTTAAGTCTTGGTTTCACTTTATTGTAGAAAGGAGTGTTTTTCTGCGTTTCCATTCTCCTTCTAAAATTGTTATAGCTCTGTTTTCACTAAACTATATAACATTGTGTTTAATCACGCCGTATATTCTATTTTATCGTTATGTTTTTATTGTATTTGTTTTTTAATTGCTTAAACTTAATAACTTGGTACGGAATTGCACTATACAGTACGAATCATATATTTCTTGTGTGCAAATTCACTAAACAAAACATAATTAATTTTATAAATGTATTCCAAAAAATGCAATCAATAAATATGTATTCTACTTGTATTATAATTTTGCGATTTAATAAAAGAGACTCGGGCAAAACACTGTTTTTCTGTTGTGCATTTTTTACAAATAAATATATCCCCAAAAATCAGCAAAATATTGTTTGAGCTATGAAAGTTCTTAAAAACATAATTACGAGCAAGAAAAACGTGTGAAAATTTATACACACGCGTAATGCTAATATTCACAAACAACTGATTAATAAATTTTAACAATAAATGCATGTAAGTAAAATGATAGTACTAAAGACTTAATCTTCTACCCAAAATAAGCGATATCTAGACAATCAATAAATTATATCTTCTTAAAAATCAAATAATTACACATTCTATAGGGTGCAGTATAATTTTTTAAGTTTAATAATATAACGGATCCCAATAGAAGATTTTTGCGGCATGAAGATACTGTTTAGAACATTACAGATCTCACATAATCATCATCATCATCATCAGCCTTTACTAGTCCACTGCTGGACATAGGCCTCTCCTTAGAAAGGAGGTTTTGGCCTACTATACAACTCTGGCAAGACGGGTTGGTTTTAGGGTTTGTTTGAAGTTTTCCTTTTCTTTGCATGTTGTTGTCCTGCGTAGTTTACTCCCTAAGTTGGCTCTGAAGAAACTAGGAGTGAGTAAAAAAATAGGCGTGGTGACACTCTGACTTCGTAATCCATCACCACACTGACCTATATCTCACACAAAGATGAAATCTTATCTTCTCTTAAAGCCATAAAATTGTAGTTTGTGAAGAATCGTGGGAAATGTTCAGTTTGATTCAAGTTTTGTGAAGCTAACTTTCTCGTTACTTAAAGTATCATTATCAATGAGCTTGAGTTCAACTAGTGCTGTTATATAGCATGTTAATTTTATTCTAGATAATGGCAGAGTAAAACATTTGGTTTTTTAATTTTCTCTACTATAGAAAATCCTAGGATATTCTCCATTGCCGGGGTGGCGGCGAGAGGCGCTGCACCAAGAGAACATGGGGGTTCCCACACAGGAGGGGGTCATCTACCCGCCGTAGATAGATAGTTACCAGGGATTCCCTTTGTAGGGTACCCGAGACGGCGTGCGGTTTTTAGTCGGTTCGAGTCCGACATAGCTACCGGTAGGTGGTATCCGAGGGGATTGCCGCACAGAAAAAAATGGAAAGGATATTCTCCATTAAAAGCAATGTAATCTATTTCGATATAATTTACCAAAAGTTTTCAAAATTTTCATTTTCAGCGTTTCTGCCTAATATTTTTACAATATGTAAAATAAAAAAACACATTTCTTAGAAAAAAAAACAAGAAAGTTAATTTTGAACAAAGCGTTGCTATTCATGGCAAGGTGATAACGAGGAATTTCTAATGGTTACACGTTCTAGTCTCACGCCCTACATCATCACTGAAGTATCATCAGAAATATAAACAATAAGATTTCATTTCATTCATGAATCCAATAAACAACAGAAACACATAAAGTTGAATTGGTAATTGCTTTACACCCATTAAATACAATTCAACTTATATTTCCAAGCTCCCAGAATCCGGCCTTCAGAGAAAACGACACATATTAGACACAAATATTATTACGGTGTTACAAGAGTGAATAATCTAAGATGTATGATTAATGGTATGAAAAAGCTTTAGATGTATCAGGAAGATTCACATTCTTGTTTTAATATAAAATATTCAAAGTAAAGCTCGCGTACATAAACTTCTTAAAAATTAATCAATGACTTGGTGAAGTCACTTTTGTTCTTAATAGCCTCTGCAATGAGGATTATATTGGTTCTTTAATTTGCAGTATTAATTTAAAAAGAGGGAATCGAACCCGGAACATGTTTTTCTGTTACGTTTATCACTAACCACAGCTATTGTCGTAAAGTTTATATTACGTTTATATGCAAATCGTTAAAGAGAAAACATTTTAATATTGCTTCCTCTTCTATTTATTAATCAATTTGGTTACTATTTAACTGAAGTTTTTTGTAATTTTTCATTAAGAATAAGAAAGAATACCTTCTTCGATCCCTTTATTCAAATCTTGTCCAGACATCTTCGGTAACGACAACTGCAACGTTCTTGAATTTGCGAACGAAGCTATGCGGTCCCACAGCATCTGGGTCAACGCTTGATCCTTGTCCAAACTCCTAGGTAACACAGCATCTATGTCGTTTTCAGATATAGCTGATACTTCACTGGGAGATGTCTTCACAACATCGACACCACTGACTAATGGTATGACTTCCATTCTTGCAGCTCGATCGAAGAACAATATCGCTTTTTTCTTAAGACATGGCATCAATCCTTCTGAGTGTTGGCAATCGTCGTACACTTTCATGATGTACCGAAATCCTAGATCATCTTTGGCGATTGTTGAACTAAGGAAGAGAACTAGTAAAATAATTTTGTACATGTTTGTTGTTCGCGGTGCGGGCGAGGTAATAAGACTGTGGGTGAATTGGTGAGGCAGCGCGTTTTATAGTGTTACAATACTGGGGCATAATAGCAGAAGATATGAAAAGATGTGCTTCAGTTTGATTAGTGAAAACGAAGTGTAAAAAGGGTTGAAAATTTTGTTTATATTTGAAGGATTCCAAAAAGTTGGCAACTTGTTTAGTTAGATGAATTTAATCTGGTTTTATTTATGAATTTCTTAACACACAAGATTGTTTAACATAATCAAGATAGCATACAAATAATCAGTTAGGTGATATATTTGAAATAGATTTAAATATAATAAATAATACGGGCCTATTAGTCCAATGGATAGTTATTCTGGTTGCTAAGTCAGAGATCGTGTGTTCGCTTCCCTCTGAGGACCAATAATAGGTAATAATAGGTAATTGTGATGAACTCAATCATATGTTCGATCATCTAGGTGTTTTATCTATAATATGTGCCTTATTCAGACTGCCTCGGTGGGGCAGTGGTAGCGTATGCGACTGCTGTGATATGGTCTCGGGTTCGATTCCCGTATCGGACCAAATGTTTGTTTGATCCGCAAATATTTATATGTATATATGTATTTACAAAAGAAAATACAAGTATTCTGTCTGTCAATCCAGTTTTCATAGTACAAACTCTGTTCTGTTTGAAACTAGATAGCGTTGTGTGTCAGATGTACGAAATATAGGTTACTAGCTGACCCGGCAAACGTTGTTTTGCAAAACAAAAAAAAATTAGGGATGGGTCACCCTTACCATTTAGGAGTATGAAAAATAGATGTTGGCTGATTCTCAGACCTACCCGATGTGCACACAAAATTTCATGAAAATCGATCCAGCCGTTTCGGAGGAGTATGGTAACTAACATTGTGACACGAGAATTGTACATATAAGATAATAAATTTTTTTTCTTCATTTATTGTTTTCACATATTAATTACAATATTAAACATATATATATAACACTTAATAAAAAAAACATATTTGTTATTATTATTAACCATTACGAGATAGGTCGCAATGACTATACTAAACTGATGGGTATGCACAAAGGCTAACCTTATCGCTGAATGCATTTTCACCCTCACCTGATATCTCTTCTAATTTTGGTGCAATTATTTTATTTGTTTATACAAATTACTTACTTATTTCAAATTTATTTTGCTGTGTCCGATAGGGTCCATGATCAACTAATTACACATTTAAACCTAATATCTAAGTACCCATTGTGGAATGCAATTAAATGATTGACTATTATAACTGCATTGTGGATTCCAAATGATTGCATTGCAACTTCACGAAAAGTAAAGAAAATTTAAAATGTTTGTAATATTGATGCATTTAGAGAGGTTAAATAATACATGAAAGAAGGGATTATAACGTTCTAGAAGTTAACATTACAAACTGATCCTAACTGCTTAGCTAGAGGTCGTGGGTTTGATTTCAACTATTCCACTACACATATTATGTGATGACCAAACAGACAATTCAATATTATTTAATTGTATAGATATAAATATGTTTCCGCTTGAAGGCAACAGTATTGCTGCCTGCTACGTTTGTGGGACCAAAAACATTATAGAAAATAAAATATATCAAACACACGCCTTTGTACTAGCCGAACTAAAAAATAGAAAATATTTTTCTATGACTTCAAAAAGTAAAACCATTTTTTCTTGAAAATTAATGGGGTGTTTTGTCAAATAGTAAGCAAATAAATTTAACAAAAATCAAACCTATACAAAATCTATGATATGCCCGTGCCGATCTACAACCGCCCGTTTCCAAGGGATTGAGCCTTATGAGAAGAAAGGGCAAACAAACTCATGGCCAACAAACAATTATAATTCTTTATTACTTGTAAGTAAATAATAATGTTTATTTTCTCGTTAAACACTAATTAAGTTACAAGTAAGTAAGTCACATACGCTTCAGTGCACGCCACGTTTGCTCCGTGGTGCACGCCGTATTTTTAAATATGGAAAATTCGTTCGAAAATCCTGAAGATCCAAATTTATCAAGTTATTATACATATTGTTATAAACGTTTTTATATACATACATCTATTACTATTAAAAAAGACAACTCCCGCATTAGGAATATGTCCTGCGTCGCGGGGGACTTTACAAACATACATGAAACGGACACAAAGAACACCCAGACTTAGAACAACAATTTGTGAATCATACAAAGTGTCGTCCCATGTGGGGATCAGACCCACAACACTCAGCGTAGTAGTGAGCGGCGTGGCGAACGCTTAAACCACTACGCCATCCGTGAATACATATGATAGATAAGTTGTTTGATTTCGACTCAAGTTTTCCAAGATTAAAATACATTCCTTCCATGCATTGCATAGAGCTAGATTTGAATGAAAAGGTTAAAACGAGTGAGTGATATTCGTAGTGAATGTTTATAAACGTTCACCGATGATGTGATAATGATAAAATAAAAGTGTGATGAGACGTGTTAATGACGAAAGTAAATTCACAATTTAAAATATTTATTACTGAGTGAGTTTTTTTTTATATCTATAGTATTGTTGTAGGAGTATTTCTGATATACTTATAATAATAATAACGCTCGTGTATTGACGGATTAAGAATACGGAATGTCACTACCCCAATTCATCCCTTGGGTGTCGTAAGAGCCGACTAAGGGCGCGGACACCAGCACTGCAAAAAGAAGGAAAACTTGACACAAAACCTATACCAACCCGTCTGGCCAGCGTGGTATAGTAGGCCAAAACCTCCTTTGTAAGGAGAGGCCTATGTCCAACAGCGGACTATTAAACGCTGTTGATATGACGATGTGAATACTTAAATGTTATTTTAAATCATTATTGTTTTTAAAAGTTAAAGTTTTTTTTTTTATTGGGACTAATCCCACCCACACGCCCACCACTGTAACTCCTGTACACCAGGATCCACAGCAGTGACCCACGAACACACCGAGTTATGACACTCGGGAAGTCCCAGGAAGAAATTAAACTGTCTTGGAACCCGCAACGAAATTAATCAGAAGAAAATTGGAGGAGTTGGAAATACAGTAAATCCACTTCCCTCCTTAGCAAAGCGGAAGACAAAATGAAGTAAAATGGGCATACATTCTTTTAAACAGGGAAGCACCACGGCCACAAATATTACGGGTCCTACGTGAGCTATGTTTGATTTCCATAATATGTATGGCAGAATCGCCTAAACGCACGAAAATTCACCCTAGTTGATACAAGATCCCCATAGTATACCGCCCCAGATGTCACCTGCAAGCTATTCAGCATTATATTACGTTCATTATACCAAAGACTACATTCCCAGAGGATATGATGAGCAGACTGTTCATAGTGAGAGTTAGTTGTTGAGCATTGACACAATGGTGACTCGACTAATTTAAATGAATAAAGCTTGCTCTTAAAGTTACCATGACCCGTAAGAAATTGAGCGACACAGTGATCCACCTCAAGCCATATCCTCGACAACCGTTCGCGAACAGATGGAAAGAATTGGTAAAGATGGCGCCCCTTGGATGATTCATCCCAGCGTTGTTGCCATTCGTCTATGAGGTCATTATAGACATCGGGCTGCTGTTGAAGAAATCTTGTAATTTTACCGTGATCCCGCGCGCCCGAGAAATCGCATTCCATGTTTTGTTGTCTTGAATAGTACATGGCTGCACGTCTCTGCACCTGTGCCGTCTTACCTGCAGTTGGCATAATGCAAGTTGGAACATTGCATAATGATTTAGCTAGTTCCTTTAATGGCTGACAGCCTATCTGACACCAACCCTCTCCTTAGCAAATAATTTGCAGATAGAACAACGGAAGAAGACAGTCAAGGATATAGGTGTCGATCTGGGGGAACCTGAAATCACATGGTCGTGTCCTCCCCAGAGTAATACGCCTGTCGGGGTGGTTTTTAGTGGAAACACCACATATTCCAGGCTCCTGCGTCCCCTAGAAGTCAGAGATCCGAAGAGATTTTCCACCTTGCAACCAAAAAAAAAGCTTACGACGTATAAAGCCGTCTCGTGATTGGAGATGCCATTAAGACGGAGCCATCAAGTGACTCATTCATGTTCTCTTTTAAACATTAAAAAAAGCAAAGGTCAAAGTGAATCTACATTGTAGAAAGTGAATAGTATATGCGGTTGATTACTTTTAAAGTAAAAACGCTTCGGGCCGAACTCCAAAATAATGTCTATGATTGACAGTTTACTCATCGTACGCCGAGGCTTTGAACGGCATTGATGTTCATACGAGTATAATCTGTGGTTTACTTGTACCGTTTGTTTCAGCTCACTTTGATCTTTCACCAATCATTAATCATTATTAATATATAATTACTGCAAGGACGGTGTAGAGGCTTAAGCCTCACCACTTTCTTATACACTTAGTGTTGTGGCTTCGATCCCCAGTCTTGACAATACTTTTTGTGATCAACAAATTGTTGTTGAGTCACAGGATGTATTCATAGTGCAACAGTTGTGTTAAAATAAAATAAAGAACCAATGATGATATGTATACTCTTATTTTTAATTCTCCCATTCAGATACATATATTTTGGTTTTTAGCATCCTTAAACTGATACTTAAAGCTAAATATACAGAGTTTCCATTATCATCTAAATAGCTATAGAAATGTTATTGAGAGAGGTTAGTCCAGTAGTAAGCCTGAGACATTAGCCTTCTTTAATGACTTCGGAGAAATTCCGTTGGAATCGGCCTGTATTTACCGATGACCTGCAATCTTGACAAGATTTTCCAGCTATCGTGAAAGACTACTAATTACATATTTTCTTATCCCTGTATTCCTAAAAGGATAGGTAGAAGTGAATTAAACTACTATGGATCAAATGCCTATGCTAAACGTATACCTACCATACTAACCAAATATTTTC